GTTGTCATCAGGGCACAGACTGATTTGTCGGATTCGTTAAGATGTAATATACAGTGCTTTACTAACGCAATTGTGGTGTTTCGTATATTGAATTGTAAAAATATAACCATACATTTCTTACGTACTTTCACGGAGGCCTCGTGGCCTAATGGATAAGGCGTCTGACTTCGGATCAGAAGATTGCAGGTTCGAGTCCTGCCGGGGTCGAGTTTTTATTTATCATGTCGTATCTGCATTTATATGGTTTAAATGAAATGTGGAATACGTGTACAAGACACGAATAACATTTCATTGCAAGATAATCTATTAAAATCAAACAACAGCATTAGCCTACAATTAACGTTATAGAGCTAATGTCAGGGAGCGTTGATGGAGTATTTGACTTCTTTCAAAGTCAATAACACAACCAGAAAAGAAAGCCAACGTCCCAATAATTTTTTTTAAAAAAAACTAACTTTAAACAGTCCACATTCAACATATAAAGCTGAAAACTTGTCGAACGTAAATGAGATGTCCCAGGCAGACTTCTAACTATTATCGCATGAGGGCGCTGTTGTCATTAGAAATGAACACATCTTATAGAAAGAGACTTTGTAGGCTATCATTCCTTTAAAATATTATATATATATGGTGCTGCGAAATTGGAAGAACTCAGATACTCCCTCGTTTAAGGATTGGATTGAGCTGATGACTTCTACTGCAACATATGAACGTAAGTTGGCAAGACTTCAGGACTCCACCCACACTTTTAATCAGAAACGGGGTAGCTTTTTGCAGTATTTGGAGAGGAAAACTGAAAGGCATTTTGGCTGTCTGTTGTATAGTCATTCATTCATTTTCTTCCCGGCCATGGCGGAATGAACCACCAACTTATCCAGCAAGTTTTTACACAGGGGATGCCCTTCCAGCTGCAACCTATCTCGGGGAAACATCCACACATACACATACACACACACACACACACACACACACACACACACACACACACACACTACGAACAATTTAGCCTACCCAATTCACCTGTACCACATGTCTTTGGACTGTGGGGGAAACCGGAGTACGCAGATGAAACCCACGCGAACGCAGTGAGAACATGCAAACTCCACACAGAAACGCCAACTGAGCCGAGGATCGAACCAGTGACCCAGCGACCTTCTTGTGTGCTTGTTGTTGTATAGTATTATTTTTATTTTTCTGAATGTTGATTTTGTATTTTTAATTTTATATTGTTCGTGGTATAAAAGTAAAAAGAAGAAAAAAAAAGTTCAATAAAAAAAAAACCATGAACAAACATTAGAGAAAAATATTTGTGACAATTTTTGTATAATAGTTTTTATATTATAAAAACATAAAATATTATAATATTTTACATTTACAAATTATATAATAACTTATGTAATTTAATATAATATATAAACATTTCATATATATATATATATATATATATATATATATATATATATATATATATATATATATATATATATATATATATATGTAATTTTCTTTTCGGCTTAGTCCCTTGATTAATCTGAGGTCACCACAGCAGAATGAACCACCAACTTATCCAGCAAATGTTTTAAGCAGCAAATGCCCTTCCAGCTGCAACCCATCACAGGGACACACCCATACACTCTCATACACACACATACACCATGGACAATTAAGCTTACCCAATTCACCTATGCCATGATTTTGGACTTGTGGGGAAAACCGGAGCACCCGGAGGAAACCCACGCAAACAAGGGGGGAACATGCAAACTCCACACAGAAACGCCAACTGACCCAGCCGAGGCTCAAACCAGCGATGTTTTTGCTGTGAGGTGAACGTGCTACCCACTCCACCACCGTGCACCCCATAAGAATATAATTTACAATGTTTGTATGAGAGTGCTATTGTTAAAAATATGACTAATAAAAAAAAAAGTAACAACATTTTATAACATAATATAATAAAAAACTAATGAAACAATTAACAAAAACTATTAGACTAATTAAAACGAGAGATTTAACTATTTTATTTGTTTTTAATACAAACAACAACATTTTAGCATATGCATAACAAGCCTTTTTACTGGAATGAATAATTCTGAATATTCATTGATTCATTTTCACAGATTAATCCTGTAGTGAATACAGTCAATTTGAACAATAATTAAATCAAATTCACAAATACCCCTTTTATGGTGAGCTATTTTTTGCTCCTTGTCCTGAACAAACATGTCATTCTCTCAGTGTTTTAGCTAAAGATCATGATGGAATGAGTAAATGTTCTCTCTTTTCTTTACAGGAGGAACAGTCACTGCTGCTGTGAGCGGATGAAAGAGCCCTTGTTGACCAGATTCTGGAGAGAGAAAGAGAAACTAGTCGGAAACATTACAAACTCTGAATGAATAGAGTTGTATTGTGTGTATTATATTTTATTATTCTTTTATGTTTCTTTATCTTTGTACATTGAATATTTGTATATTCTTATTTCTTTATTGTCTGTGTCTTTGTCCTGTCACTGTCATTCTGTTGCACTGTACTTCTGTCATGTGTACAGACCTGCCAATAAAGCTCTTTCTGATTCTGATCTTTATAATAATAACAATCATTATCATATTAGTTTTTTTATTTCTTATTTTATTATGTAACTATCAATATTCTAATTGTGTGTTTATGTGAGGGGACTTTGTGATTGTATCAATGGTTTATGTAAAACTGCAATGTTTTTGACAATGTAAAAAATGCTGGGTTCCACACAATCGATTTGTGTTGGGAAAACATCAAGGAATCAAGTTAGCTGAATAGCTTTTACAAATTTAAGTGGATTGAACATAAAACTATTAAGGTTTTCCAAAAAAAACTCAAGAATTGTGTTGTTTGAGTTCATCTTAAATAAGTTTGAACAAACAGTAAATGTCATCCACTGTAAAAGATGCAGGCTTCCACACAATTCCTTCACGTTGTCCCAACACAGTTTAAGTTAACATATTGCTTTTACAAATTTAAGCGGGTTAAAAAGAAAACAATTAAGTTGTCCTCTCCAAAAGACAGTCAAGATAGTGTTGATTCAGCTCATTGAAATAGAAGTAGTTTAAAGCAGTGGCTCTCAAAGTGGGGGACGGGACCCCCAGAGGAGTCACGGGACCATGAAGTGTCGCCTGGTGATTTCCTAAAAATCGATTTATTTTTATTAAACCATAAGAATGACCATATTTTATCCATAACCTACTGAAGAGAAAAAATATATACTATATAGTTACTATAGTAGCTTATAGTAATTAGTTCTGTTGGATTGTGACCCCTGGGGTAATTTCATTATAATAAAGACACAGAAATAGTGTCAGATGCAGCAGATTGATTTGATAACACCAGATAAACCTTTCTGTCCCATTTACAGCACTGACATACATTAAAAAAATTAAACGAAGAATATACTTTTTCTATTAGTGTAAGCCATTGCATGCAATGTTTCTGTGTTTATAACCACCTCAGAGGATATTGGGGGTTGCGAATCACTGGCATTGTCATTTTGTGGGTCACAGGCTGAAACGTTAGGGAACCCCTGGTTTAAAGAGCAGTCATTTTTGAGTGTATTTTGAGTGTACTGGACAAGTCATGCCAATAAAGCTCAAGTCAATAAAGCTGACAAGTCATGCCAATAAATTGAGAGAGATTTTGAAATTTAAGCACATTAATTTAATACACTTTTTATAAAACAAAACATATTTCATTGAGGAGAAAATGCACATGTTGTCCTGCAATGTATAGGAGTTTCATGCTGTCACTGTAAAATGCTGCAAAATTCCTTCACGTTGTTCCAACACACATTGATTAAGTTAACTTAATCGTTTTATAAATTTAAGTCTATTGAACATAAAACTATTAAGTTATCCCCCCCAAAAAACAACAAAAAAATAAAACAAAAATTGTTTTGTTTTTAGCTCAATTTAAATAAATAGTTAGAACAAGTTTATTTGTTTATTTTTTGAGTGTAGGTCTACTCCGAATGCCTTCAAACCAGCTGGTAACATCATTCACCCATAATGGCTTGATAGCTAATTGATTTTATACTAAAATATCTGTCATCATTTTTTACCATATAAAAGCAAATGCAAACAGTCTTTGTAAAATTTCCATTAACAGCTAGAAGCTAAACCTCCAACAAAGTGAGAAAGAGAAAGGGAAAGAGACTTAAACAAAGTGTGTTGGTCCAGCAGAGTGAGGATGCATTAAATCATGGAGTGCAGGAGCGTCTGAACAGTGATGCTATTGATGTTTTCTGGAGACGGGTGAGCGGGTCAGCGAGACTCACAGGGCTATTGGTATGCTAACGCTAAATATTTACATATATCCTCATGCAGAGACACGATTCAGACCAAACGAAAGATCAAAGACGAAATAATTAATGAAAATGCGTTCATCTATCTATCTATCTATCTATCTATCTATCTATCTATCTATCTATCTATCTATCTATCTATCTATCTATCTATCTATCTATCTATCCCTTAATTCATTAAGCTTGATAATTTGATGATAGATTTGTTTGTATAACAATAATAACAATAAAATCACATCCAATTGGACTCAGATTTTCCTTTCTTCAAAATTGGTTTAAAAAAATCAATTAAATAAATAAATAGGTATAAAATAACTTGGGATCAATAGCCTAAATAAATAAATGTTGCAATTGGCAGTTCATTTCGCTGTGGCGACTCCCGAAGCAGGGAATAAGGAGAAGGAAAGTAAGTCCGTAACGTTAGATATAACGTCCCAGCCGGCACACGACCGACCTTCAACGTTGAAATATGGTTGAAATAAGGTCAGTTGTGTTTTGAACGTTGAAATAATGTTGATAGAACGTTTAATGTTGAATGGTTGAAAAACAGCCTGCATATGACAAGGCTTCAACGTTGAAATGTGGTTGAAAATATGTCAGTTGTTGCTTTAATGTTGAAACAATGTTGAATGATAAATGGTTGAAAAAAGTTACAGAAATCGTTGTACAAATCAACGTTGACATTTTTTTTATCATGATCTGTATATTGAATTTACGTCATGGCTTCACCCAACATTCAACATGTTTGGTTACCATGGTATTGGAGGACTCCGCGCACGCGGCCACGCGCAGCGCTTCACTTCACTTAATTACGAACACCTGACCTGCAGTGCAGCAGAATTCAGAGGTAAGCGTGTTTTTAGATGCTTTAACGTTTTATTTACCCCCCGATTTTGTCAGTGTATCTTAAACGTGACTTTTGAGGTGTAGTGTTTCGAATTTTGAAGCATTTAAAACTTTCCAGTTTGTTTTTAGTCTTGTTTGCGCTCCGGTGACGCGCAGCTAACCTCGAGGTAATGTCACATGTTTAACGTTAGTCTAAATGAGCGTTTTTATGGCAAATTCAAAGTGATAAACTCCAAACGCAGTTTAAAGTTACTGAGCAACGTTATAAAACAATATCCATTTTATACGCTGTATTATTAGTGTTATTATTACAAAGTTAACTGCTGTCGTTTCACTGTTGTTGTTGTTTTTGCTTTTAGACATGTAACTTACTCCAGAGACGCACTAACTTGCACAGCATTGAATGGAAAAGGCTTTGTCCATGTAAGTTTACTTTACCTTTAACTATCTGTTAAATCTTCTTGGTGCTTTGGTTGGTGATATTCTCTTTCTAATCTGTTTGTTTATTGATTGTTAGGCTATGTTGTGATATTATATTGTTATATTGATATTATTATTGTGAAATCATGTTGTGATGTTATACTATGTGACAGTATTGGGGAACAAATATGTATTTAGTGAGAAATTAATGCTTAAATTATACTTTGTATAGTAGCAGATAAAAGGTGTAATGGGTTTTAACTTTCTGAGTTTTCTGGAAGGACCAGTTGAGGGGCATCAAGAACATGCAGATGGCCTAAACCTGTGTCAGCCTGGACAGACTGCAGTTCTGCTACTCCATGCCAAGGCTTTTGTATGGATGTCTTGACTGCTACTGTGTTCTCTAAAGGTATTACTGGAGCAAAACAACAGCACCCGTTACAGTGAAATTTGTATTCAAAAAAATAGTGATACATGTGTAGCAGGTCCAGTACATGTAATGTCATTGAGAAGTTGTTTTATTAAATGTCATTAAAACAAATAAATAAACATGCTATTTAAATAAATCTAAATATTAAAAACTTGAGGATTAAGATGACAAATGAAATGCATCATCTGTCTTGCGAAAAGGGTCTACTTAAGAGTTCTGGTGTTTTCCAACTGAAAGGGATAGTTCACCCAAGAATGAAAATTTTCTCACATTTTACTCCCCAAATGGTTTAAAACCATTATGAGTTTATTTTGTTGAACACAAAAGAGGCTACTCTTAAAAAAAAAAATAAAAACCTGTAAACATTGACCTCCATAGTAGAAAAAAATACTATAGAAGTCAACGGTTATAGATTTGCAGCTTTCTTCAAAATATCTTCTTTTGTGTTCAATGTGGTCAGTAAATGACGACAGAATACAAATTTTTAACTATCCCTTTTATTCTCTGTCCTACATGCAGACTTTTACAGAAGTGCTACTCCTTCTAGAGTTTTTCTCAACCATGTCTAAAAAGCTTCAAACAGCTTTTACAGTACATGTAATGTTTACAACAACTTGTAATTATTAGATGTGTTGAATGTTTCATGATTCTTTACTGCAGCCTTGGTTAAAAAAAAAAAAAAAAAAAAGCAATTTTTTCGAGAATCTGAAATTTGAATTCTGGAAATGCTGGCACCGGTGGTGGCGAAGGGCTTCCTGACGACATCACACCTAATTCTTCACTTCTCTTAGTTAGGAATATTCAGATGTTCAGATGGATGAGTCAAAATTATTGAGTGTGGCGATATTATAGGACAAATTTGGATTCAATAAAAATAAATATTTGAATTTCACTTTGTATAATAGCTGATACCAACTTAGTTGTAACCTCGTATTTTATTTATTGCAGGTTTTCTGGAAGCTCCATTTGAGGGCATCAAGGACATACTGATGGCCTAAACCAGTGTCAGCCTAGACAGACAGACATCTATTGCAGTTCTGCTACACAAGACCAAACTCTCTGCTTTTGTATGGATGTCTGACTAGTACGGTGTTCTCTAAAGGTGTAACTGGAGCAAAACAACAGCACCCGTTACAGTGAAATTTGTGTTCATAAAAGATAGTGATATATCAGGTATAGTAACAGGTCCAGTACATTTGTCATAAAGGTTAAATCACAGTAAGTACTGTAAAAATAACTTGTTTGCCTCTGCCAAAACAGGTCATGGTGTGTGCTTACTGCTCGTAGTAAACACACACGCTGATCTGATGCGGGAGAGATATATGCAAACACATTTGTATTTACTGTTTTGTTTTGCCTCACTAAAGTGTTGTTGGAGCTTGGTATGTTCACAGTTGAAATCACTGAAGTCACATGGAACGTTTTGACAATGTGTTTTGTGCCTTATCTTGACGATGAGCATCTTGGGACCATTGCTGTCTGTAGAGGATGAGGCATTTAATCTAAAATATTTTAGTTTGTGTTCTGAAGATTAACAAGTCTCTGGTATGACACAAGTAATTAATAACAGAACCTATATGAACACTTAATGTGACATGTAATAGTGAAATAGTGGTCCTACATTCACAAATGTGAGCCATTATTATAAGACCCATGTGAACATGCAATTTTTATGATACTAATAATAATAATGGAATAACAAATTGCTTTTACTGTTGTGTTTGTAAGAGAGAATCAAACCATATATTCTACACATTTTCTTGATGATTTACTGAAATATTTGTCTATGTTCCACTGTCACAGGTGCTCAGTTTTGCTGCAGTAATGCTAAACACAATAGATGTACTTTATACAAAAAAAAAAAAAAACTACTAAATATTTAGCATGCAGACCTGCAAAGTGAAGGAGTAATGTCAGGTTTAGATTATAGCATGAGTTTTCACTATTGTGAAAGTAAAGCCATTCATTTACAATGAATTGGAATAGCAAACCTCATTATTGATTTTGTAGGAAACTCACCTGGTGTTTGAGAAATAAATATGTATTTAAGTGCTAGACTGATATAGATGTTTTAGTGTTTTACACTTGATTCTTTGTCCCCAGTGCCATCTTTTACCTCAAGTGTTTCTCTCAACCTATAAAACCTCAAACAGATGTAATGTATTTCACTTGTGATTCTTAGTTGTGAGTGATGTTTTTTAATTTATTTTTTTACTGCAGCCACTTTAAAAATGGGCATTTTGTAAACTTTGTAAACGGAATTGTATTTTGCAGACTGTGATGGTTGAAGCGTAGTTTAGTTACTTAGTTTAATTTAGTTGGTATCTGTCTTTCTGAAGACGGTAACACTTTACAATAAGGTTGTATTAGTAAGTGTTAATGTATTTACTAACATGAACAGAACAATGAAGCATCTTTCATATAAAAAAGTACAGTTCATGTCAGCTCAGTGCATTAATGTTAACAAGCATACATTTTGATTTTAATAGCATCGGGACATATTTCAATTAATTAAATGATTAATAAATGATGTACAAGTATTTGTTCTTTGTTCATGTTAGTAAACATTAACTTTAATTCATGAAACCTAATTAAAAAGTGACTATTTAATTGTATGCCTTTTTCTGTATTTGAGTGTACAGCATGTATAGTAACCTGCATGGTTTTAATGAACTATATGCTGTAAATGTTGCTGTATATTTAGAATAAATGAAATAATGAGGTGTGTATTAAATAAATTGATACACAGACTAAGTTGTGTATTTGTGTCGTGTATTTTTTATTAGTAAAAAATTGTTTGCTATATTTATGGACTTTGCGTTGTATGTAATTTCTATTTAACTTGCGTTGAAATGTATGACGGTGAAACAACGTCACGGTATCAACGTTGATCCAATTTGCAAAATCGAAAGGTAATTCAACCTTTATTCAACGTCTACAAAACGACCACAATTCACCCATGAAGAAGGTAAGAGTGAAACAACGTTGTGATTTCAACGGTGAATCACCGGTGGTGGTCCGACGGTGAAACAACGTCACTATATAAACGTTGATCCAATTTGCAAAATCGAAAGGTAATTCAACGTTGATCCAACCATAGACCTGACGTTGATTCAACGTTGAATCACCGTTGAAATGCCGGCTGGGGTTAAAGCAAAAAAATGTAAACATTAGGTTATTACCTGATGTGTCTGTAAGAATTTAAAAGAAGAAAAGATTCTCTTTCTCTTCTGTCTCTGTGATGGTCTTGATGTGACAGACACGCTGCAGCCGTTTTTAGGGCCCTCGCTGTAACCCGCCCTTATTGGTCACTAGGGAACAGCAGGAAATGGCGACTCAATTAGCAGTTGTTGACCTGTAATCCTGAACTCTGACCTCTGTTGATCTGGTCCACTTTATTGTCCTCTAGGGAGCGAAAGTCCATCTCACATTCATTCATCTGGACTCCATCAAGTGTCCATTTATACAGCTGGACTGAAGGAGTCAAGGTCATTACCGCTAAACTGCCTATAAATGCGTCTTGTTTTCGCGCGTTTTTTGTTGCTTTTTGCTATTTTTAAACATATATATTTATTTTGCAGTTTTATTTTGTCAACGAGCTAACGTTTTTATTTTCTATAGATGAGATCGCTGCCACAATATCAAGACACATTCAACACATAAATTCAAATTATACTATTACTACAACCCCAATTAATGCTTGATCCGCCCTAAAGGATACCAAAACAAGATGTATAGGGGGTCTGCCCTTAGTCTAGTTAAGAAATAGTTTGCTCTGATCGGTATGTTTAATAATAATGATAATTAAAATAATAGATAACTTAAATATTAATTTGATCACCCCTGTAATGGTCCATGTTAGCGCCAAAAATATGATATCATTTCAATAAATGCAGAGCCCCAACAGTGTTCACAAAACATGTTTCCCTTAGTATGTTTATTTAATATCACACAAAAGTCATAGAGAACCCCTCAATATCCTCAAAACACTGAAAACATAACAAGTTTGATTAATTTGACGTTATTAAATTAAATATGTAAATTTGGCTGAGGCATCATGCCGAACATACTTGAAAAACTTGACCCCAAAATACTGAGAAAATCATACTATAAAATACAAAAAATATTTGTAAATGAAACAATATTTTCAGTCTGTAATCGGATCTATCAACTTGTATTTGAAATTTATCATTTATTTACAGCTGGTTTAGAATATATATGTAGCCTAATAATCTACTCTTTGATAATATGTTTAATTTATGCATTTTACAACTGTCCTTGATGGAAAATCTTGCCTTTAAATAATCGAAAGGTTTGATTGTTTTTATTGCAACAAACTGTTGTCACTTTAAAATAAAAGCAGACCAAATAAATTCAAAAATCTTTATCAATTGTGAATAAATATGAATCAAATTAAAACATGACTTTAAACTTTGTTCAGATGCTCTTGTTTGTCCTCATTTTTATTCAGCATTTTCATTACCCTTGTACTCTAACACCCAGTTTATTTTTTACTTAATTAAATTGTTTTCTGCGAACTTTTGATTCCTACTATGGCGAAAGCCGAACTCTTACATATTAAGTAGAAATTGGTAAAACATCCAATGGAAAACCCTTTCTTCTTGAATATTCATTTGATTTGGCTGACGTTGATTCGAAAGTGTCCAATGGTTAACGTTTGTGTCTTGAATACTAAGTAAGTCGTGCTGACGTTGCTGGGTATCTATCCAATGTCGAAAACCTAGCCGATGAATATTAATAAACTCTCCTTCGCCATAGTAGGATTGTAAAATTGTCGTGCGGGATACTCTGCACGTTTTACCGTCTGCTCCTCACATTTTCTCCATTCATTGACTAATTAACACTTAGCCTAATGCTCGCGAACACAGAGGTCACAGATATAGAGTTTCTCACAGTCATTATACACGAACGCTCGAGGAAATAGAGTGGAAATTGCCCGCAGTAGGATATACGCTTAGAAAATTACACA